CCTGCCATCCCGCCGAGGCTGGAGGAAGGGTTTTTCTTTCCCACCTGGCCTCTCTGACGTCTGTCTCTCCAGTCCCCATGTTCCATCTCATCTTGTCCTATAGGAGACTTTAATACAGAAGCCTGTGTGGCCCATGGGAGTGGCTTTCTGGGTTCTGAAAACATGGGCCTAGCCACGGCCACAGTGGGCAGGGTGAATCTGGTGCCCGGTGTCCGATCTGCCGGGTGTGGCGGGTGCCAGTGGCGTCGCTCAGCTGTGACAGAGGTCTTCCACACTGAGGCTGCGGTGCCTCTCACAAGTCAGATCTGTGTCGTGGTGGATTCAGTGCTGCTTCTGGTTTGGCTGTGGTGCATGGGGAACAATGTATGAAGCTGGGGCCTCAGCATTACTTTCCTGCCTGTGTGGGCAGCCGGATGGCTGTGTTCACCACGCGTGTAGGCGGGGGAGGCTCACATCTGGTCCTGTGGGAAAATCCGCTGTAGTTACGGAGCTAAGGCTGTCAGCTCATCATTAAGGGACCAGAACCGAATTCTCTGTGTTCCGTGTGTGGGTGGCTGACGGATGGGGACGAGACGGTCCTTAGGGTCCAGGCCTTCGGAGGACACGGGTGTCTGTGCTCCCTGCTCCCACTAGTCAGCTGGTAGCAGTGCCCTCCTGGCCAGGGTGACTTTAATTGCTACACATAGCATTCAGGACACCACCTCTTCCACCTGGTCTGGGTGATTTAGGAACAATCACTGTCCAGATTCTGCCTCAGCGCAAGAACACTGACCTTTTCCACAACCCTCCCCTGGGACACAACAGGACTAATGAGGCAGCAGTAAATGGCACTTGGATTCCCGCGGAGGAGGAGAAGTTGAGGTCCATTTCCATCAGGAGGCGGTTCCCATCCCTATCGCTGGTGCAAGCACAGTTCTAATGTCCTGTCACCTCGTGAATGTCAGGGTTTATCTGGGGCATTTAGGGTGTAAAGCTGTTAAATCGATTAGCCATCTTCTGTGAAGTATGAAAATGGTGCTGGAAGCCCTAGTTAGGCGGGAGGACATTTGTAACATTTAAAACTAAGCATTTACAATGGGGCGGAGGGGTCGTGGAACTGGAGTAGCTGGTGCCCGGAAGTGAATGGTGCGACTCCCAGACATAGGCAGCTGGTTCTGCACTCGGTGCCTGCGAAGGCTTCGTCTCCCAGGATTTTCTCAGGTACAGACCCTTTCAGTGAGTGCCCTGAACACCAGCTGGTGTTCTCCGGGCCCCAGGCTAACTTACGAGATCCTGTTCCGTACCCAGTGTTCCGTCCAGGCAATGGGCTCAATGGGCCTCTTCCTGCGGTGCTGGGTTCTCACCTCAGGAGCCAGCGCCAGGCTAAGCCACAGGGGTTCAGCTCAGCTCTGCGCTGCACGCTGGCACTCGAGGGCCGCTTGCTCGGGGGACGGTGCTGTGAGGCTGTAGAAGGCAGAATAAGGGCCCCTGAGTGCAGGCAGAACCTTGGCCGGCAGCCCTCTGGGAGCAGGGGCCATGAAGAACCAGAGAGAGTGCAACAGGTCAGGAATGAGCGGGTGTCAGCCAAAGCCATGGGCCGGGAGAATCTGGGGCAGCCAGAGAACTGCTCGAGGGAGGCTCACAACAGAGGGCCCTGAGCCCAGTCGGTGCCACAGCTGTGTCAGATCCTTCGGTTCCTGAACTGTTCTGCGAAGATCAGCTAAGCAGTTGGCGATGACACCAGCGCCCCTGTAGTCCCTATTCCACCCCCCCCCGCTTCAGTTGTGGCTCAGGGGGTCACCGTTGCCTGGAGGCTGTATGACATCTTGTTTTGCTTTTCCTGTCTGTTAAGTGCTCTGGGTGGCTTTGTCCTTGCCCTTACTCCTCTCTTCCTCGGTGACCGCCAGCTGTCGCTCTGTCCCACGTCTTCCACGGCAGGGGAAAGAGTGGCAGAGGACAGTGAGGGGTAGACGCACAGCCAGCGTTCACAAAGCCGACCTTCCAGGTGCGCTAGGGTCCTCCAGGCACAGCCTGGCACGCACAGCCTCTGGCTGTTGGATACATTTATATTCATAAAGGTTGGATGAGGACGTGATCGTTTAGTCTGAACATTAGGTCACAGGTAAACTTAGGACAGGGCTTTTATCTCTATTATTAAAGAGTCTGCTTACTTCCACCCCTAGACTCAGCCTTGCTGTGTCTCATCATAGCAAAATATCTTCACAGCAGGGCTGTTTTGGAGTTAGAGGGAAATGTTCTTTCCCGAACCAAGCGAGCACCTTCAGCACGTTTGTCTGCACACTCACACCGTGTGGAGGGAGCAGACGGTACTCACTCAGTAACCAGAGCCACCCCACTGCCCTTTTCCATGTACCCCTGGCCCTTCTATGAGAATCATTTTTTAAAAATCCATAATTATCTTTCCCTCTAGCACTAAAAGCTCGCTGAATATCAATAGGGCCTCTGGCTATCCAGCTTCTGGAAATATTTCCTAGCCGCCCTTGTGGCTGGGGTGGCCTGGTGGCAAGTTTCCTGCAGCGGAATGTGAGCAGAGTGACACTTGTGGCATCTGTGACAAGGGTTGGAATGGAAATTGCTGGCTCTTATTTTCTCTTTCACTTCCTTTCAGCGCCGGTATGGTTATTGGTGTCCACTTCATTCAGGCAGATGAGGGTCAAACTGCCGGGACTGGCAGGACAGTAAGAAAGTCATCAACGAAGCAAGCCACCCCACACCATAGTACTTCTGTCCTCTTGCAAAAGAGAGGGCTAGACAGGCTGTACCTGTGAGCTTCTGGGTGAGACAGCTTCGTCCACAGCCCAGTACCCAGGGTTGGACACTCACCGAGTACTCCCACTATGGCAGGAACCGCACAGAGCGGAATGGGTCTTATGTACTTAACCCTCACGCGAGCACCCTCAGTAGGTACTGACTGCCCAGTTCACAGGTTGTGACCCAGCTCAGAGAGCGAGGCGTCTTGTCCAAGGTGGTGCGACTGCCCGTGGCAGGGAGGACCCCAGCTCACCTTCCACGTGTGTCCAATTGCACTTCTTAGTTCCCGTCCACCTCACCTGTGTCTGCGGATTCCTGCCCGCTGCTGTTCACTCTCCCTCTACAGAGAATGTTCGAAGTGTTCTTCTCTGCCACCTTGACCTTTTACGCCTCACTGCCTGGATTGTTATAGATGGCTTGTTTCATTCTCTTTCTCTGCATTGTGCTTTGTTCCGGATAAGCTAACCTTGCATTGTTCCTAGATGGCAAATCTCCCACGGAGTGGACAGAAATGTAACGCGAACGTCTAAAGGGCTAAGAGCGGGCCGGTTCTCCAGAAGGACTCACTACTCTCTTATGTGATTGATACCCTTCCCATAGGTCTATAGATTTGTTGTTAAGGGATCGATCCTGGTGAAACGTCCCTCCCCCAGTTTACAGTCGCTGTCACGGTAGCAATGTAGCTGGAAAAAAAATGATTGGAACAAGGAACAGCGCTCCGTCTGTTTGGCACCCTAAATGTGAACAGCTAGGCTCTAAAATCTTCAACGCCGAACTTTGGTCAGTGTTGACCAAATTGTGACAGGGTTAACTTTACTGCCTAATAGTAGGTGATCCAAATCAGAGGCTGCCCTCGACAAGGTATGCTGTGCTTCCTGACGCAGAACCCCGGAGGTGGGCAGCTGGGGACTGACAGACACGATGACTGCTTGACCACTGGGATCTCAGCCTTCTTCTAATCTTTTCCTTCAGCTTCTACTCTCAGGGTTCCCTTGGGGCTACGAGAGCCACCAGGTCGGAGTGACAGGCACTGGAGCAGGGAGAGATTGAAGGCTTTGTGGGTTCTCTGCCTGCCCTCTTCTGAAGCCCTTTCCAGATTTCACTAATAAACTTCCCCTTCTGTGGAATGGTCATAGCTCAACAATACCTAGTTACATAGTTGCCCAGTAGGACCAACAGGGAGTGCTAAGTACTGTTGAGTAGACTTGCCTTCTAATGAGAAAATTCCTGCCAATGTAGATGAGTCATGGACACATTCCCAACACCTATGGGCCCCAGAGCCATACTTTCTTGTTGTTGCTGTTGTTGTTGTTGTTGCTGTTTTGAGACAGGGTTTCACTATGTAGTTGAGACTGACCTGGAACTCACTATGTAGCTCAGGCTGGTCTCGAATTCACAGAAATCATCCTGCCTCAGCCTCCCAAGTGCTGGGATTACAGGTGTGAGCCACCACGCCTGGCTATATTTTTTAATAAATACATTTTGATTGGAGCAAAGCCAAATGATCTCACCGACTCATTGTCTACGGCACCGTCTGACCCACCAGCCTCCTGTATCTGCTGTCTGGTCCCAGGGGAGAAGTTCATCACTCCTGTTCTAGATCTCAGAAGACAGCTTCTCGTGAGTGGCTTCAGACCCTGTGACCCATCATGGGGCCAAACTTGACATGGATTCAGGGACCAACTGTGTTCTTCCCCACCAGGGTTACGTCCATGTCAAGCATGTGTTTGGCTGCGAGTAAAATCTGATCAGTGATGGAATGAAGTAAAAGGGATTTATTTTCTCCACACGTATGGTCCAGGGTCGGAGCTGATGTTCAGTGATGTCTTTGAACCCAGCCTTCTTTCTCCCTCACGATGCCTGGAATGTTGGCACCCAGCTCCCTGCTTCTGGTGCACAACGGCTGAGTGTTGGGAGTCCTGCGTGGGCCTTCCATGCAGGGGAAAGTGCACGGTGCAATGGGCCAAAGAAATGAGACTGTCGCTTTCTAAATGCCTTCTCATAGGCCAGCAGTGGCAGGACTGGGCTACCCCAGACTGCTGGGATCAGGAAGCCGGAGATGCTGCTGGAAATGAGGAAGGGGTGACAGTAGCAGTCAGTACCTGTAACCTTGGGCTCCTGGAAGCTACCTGGGCCCCTGCAGCCCCCTCTCAAGCCTCATCCTCCTTCCACCTCTCTCTCTTCCCTACCTGTGCAGTTCCTGGCATTAATTTCTCTTCTCTGCCCCCCTCTTTCGTCTGTTTGGCCAGGTGAGAAGCCTGGCAGTGAGCCGGAGGAGGTGAAGCTGCAGACGGCCAGCAGGCAGATCGTGCAGACGGCCATCCTGCAGGCTGTGCAGCAGGTCTCCCGGGAGAACCGGCGGGCGGACGCCAGAGCCAGCGACAGCCGGGGTCACCGCCAGCTGGGTGTGCGGGAGCTCACCAAGAAGTACGACAAGAAGTAGCAGTGGATGTAGCTCTTGTCACACGCCATTTCTAGCCTGCCTGTTAGTGTAGGACACGCTGCCAAATGTTGCCAGTAAGGAAACCAAAGTGTCCTGGACGCCCAGCTGTAGGATGAACTCACACCCACCCCTGACCGAGAGGCACTGTTTTGCAGAAGTGCATTAGACATTCTGTTCACCCTGGCGCGCAGCCTCGAACGCGGCCTGGGTCAGATGTGACATGTGCGTCATGAAAGTAGGTTTGCAGCACAAATTTTGAGGTTTTCTTTTCTTTTAAGAGACAACTCTAAAGACTTGTTCATTTAGCTCTGCTTTTTAGGCACTCTCTGTGAATTCAGCCAGGAGGTTCATCCCCTTCTTTTCTTGTTTTCAAAAATACTGAGTACAGTTCTGTGTTCTTTATAAATATTTTAAAAAGATACAGGGGAAGGGTGAAGAAGTGGAGTTTTAGCCCCTTTCAAGTAAAGAACTGAAGGCTTTTATGTTATGCATTCAGGCCCAAGATCAAATTAAACAGAGACAAAAGCAAAGACAAATTCTAAGACCCAGTCCCTCCAGGGTCTCAAGCGTGTATTTATTTTACTTATGCAAGAGAGCAGTATAGGCTTTTCAAGAACTCAGGCTTTTCATCTCTCTTCTCTGAGTGGTTTCATAGCTGGAGTTTACCTCCTGTGCAGAGATCCTTCGGGAATAGTATGGGCTTCTTCTTTTTCCATCTCAAAGTTAAATACAATAAAGCAAGTGAGTGTCTGTGCATGAGTTACTATTCATTCAACTCTTCAGCAACCCACAGTGAACAACTAAAGTTCTATGTCTCTAAACTGCTCCCCTCCTGGACAGGCTCACCCTTGGGTCTGACTTTGCTGTGCAGCACACTTGGAAGGAGCTCTGGGGCCTTACTTGTCCACTGTGCCACCAGCAGGAGATGGATGTGTATTCGTACTTTACCAATGGGAGCTTGCCTCTGCCTGTGCACAAATTAGAATTTTTATTTTGCCATTATATAAAAATCATACAGGTCAGGAATAATGTTTAACATGGGAAAACCAGCTTTTCAACTCCCTGAAGTGTAAAAACAGAGTGGAAAGAGGAAAGTGACATTGTGGTGAAGGCAGTTGCAGAGATAAGTGTGGATATGTGCAAACAGATGTGTGCATGCATGTGAAAGTAGGATGACTTCCTGCTTCTCCCCAGTGCACATCTTCCTGGAGACTGATAGAATCTCAGTTCCTGTGCTTCACAAAAATTATTGAGTTGGTGACGTTGGGGGAGAATTTAACCTTTGTTACAAACCCGCAGGCTTCAGAGTATAAATATCTGCAGTTAATAGTTCATTTATTTTTTAAAGCAAAATATTGCCATATACAATACGAGTAATATTAAGATACGAGTGGAAAATTCCAATGTGTTCTGCTTTCCAGAATGGATACTATGGCTAACCTCAGATGAACAAGAAGGATTTCGCACTGTTAGACTGTGCTCCACAGTGCCTATGTGGAATAAATTAATTGAGGGAGAAGATGGGTGGGAGAGGAAGCAAAAGGGGCTAAAATTGAAATATTGTTTATCCAGAAATATTTTTAGCACACTTTGTGACAGTTGGAGAATGAATTTAAGTTGACCTAAAGTCGCATAGCAGAGGGGCATGATGTAGTGAGTGACAATGACGGTGTGTAGGGAAGTTGTTCAGGTGTGCTCACAAATGAGAAGGGGAATAAAAATAATTAAGATGTGCTAAGTTCCTGTACATCCTTAAGTTGAACGTAAACATTATGTGCTGGAAACACATCCTAATGAAAAATAAACAAATGTGAAAAACAAATGAACTGAACACTTGTAGCTTGCCAGTGATCTGAATACAACCAGCGTTGGTTTTTGCTGTCAGGAGGCAGAAACAGATAAACATGCTCTCCTTCCTCTCTCGTGTGAATGTATTAGTAAACTGCGGGCCCTTGGAAACATCTTGATGAAATGTTATTTATAAATAAAATATATCCTGCTTTGAATCACGTCGTTGCAAATAAGGTCTTTCTGCAGCCCGCTGCTTGACTCATTGGTGTGTGGCCCTGCCTGCTTATGGCACCTCAGTGCTTTGCAGTGGGGTCTGGGCTCAGAGCCCTGGATGTCAGGGTCAAGGCAAGCACTTCTTTTGTGGACCTGAACCATAACCATCTGAGGATGGTGCTTCCATCCTCAGGTCTGGGTGGGGGTGAACAGGTACTGAAGTGGCCTTCTGGTCTCAGCAAGGAGAGCTAAGTACATGTGGGGTTCACGTGTCCAGTAGGATCTTTCAGAGATGCAAAATCAGTAGGAAAAGAGAGATGTATTGATGATTTCTTGAGCGCATAGGGCGAGGTTAAGCTCTTCCAGCACTCAGTATGTAGATGCTAGATTGACAGAATCCGAAGAAAACGCAGTCATAAAGATACAAGCCTCTCAGTGTAAAGATGGAGGTACTGGGTTTTCCCAGGGGTCATGGATCTTCACTTGGCATAGAACAATGGTGGGTCATTATTATTATTACTATTGGTACTGGGGATTGGACTCAGAAGCTTGCCCTTGCTAGGCAGGCTTTGGAACCACTGAGTTAAATCCCTGGCCCAAAGGTGGGTTATTATTACCAGTTAGCACATAGCTTTTAGTATTTGGTATTTGTGGGAACATTTATTGAATGTTCTTTATCTCCCTGATTTGCTGCAAGGAATTATTATTATTATTTTTAAAAGTATTAATATTAGCCATAATATGAAAGAAAAATAGACAAAATTAGGTACATGTTATAATATATAATGTGGGGATATAAGCAGATGTCTTGTCACAATTTGAGAAACAACATGCTCATGTACAAGCTGGGTGAAAACAAATCAACTATCAAAAACATGTTCCCAAGTTCTGAAAATATTTACTAATATAAAATATAGCATCAAATTCAAAAATCTCTTTTGTTACACAGAATATACAGTATACACAATAATAATTTAAAACAAAGTGGTGGCAAAATCCTAATTAACAAAAAGTGATTGACAAAATTAAGTTTTTTAGTGGCTTATACCTCTAAATTATAAAGACTAAACAAAAACTACACAAATACTAACTCTACTTCAAAGTAAAAAATAGATTATAATTCACCATGCTTAAGACACTATGTATTATACTCAAAGATACACAAACATATCTATGTCAACTCAATATTTTTCTATTAAACACTGCAGATATTTAAGTGATTTACTAAAAAACAAATAATTATGTACTTTCAGATATCTCTATCTGGGATTTTATTTTTGGAAATTTTGCAGAGAAATAGTGACCTCAAGTTTCTGTATTAATTACTCCTACAGGTCTACTACCTAAGAAAAATTCACAGGATTTTCAAAATAGGCTTATATATAAAGTTTCTCCCCAGTGAGATTTCTTGCTTACAGAAAGCTCATGACTGGGCATTTGTTACTAAATGTTCTCATTATAGCTCACACCAGACTGAAGACATACCACAGGGAATTATACAGGGACAGCCGGCTCTGTGTGTTCAGCTGTTCATTTTTTGCTTTGCCTCTCTCCAGGGTAGAATTAAAAGACACCCTTTTATGTTATTTTGCTTTTCTGTAATCATCTAGCCAGTGCAGGTAGTACTGTAAATAGATACAGAGAATTTCCTGGCACCTGAGCATCATTTCCTTTATTTTCCTTAGTTCTTTAAAAAATAATTAGCTTCTCAGTCTTATTTTATGGTGAGATTTCAGGTTACAAGTAGGGAAATCAGATATTTAAAAGTAGTCATTGGATTTATGCCATTCAGGAATGAGTACTGGATTGTTTTCAAGTCTGTGTGAAAGAACAGTAGAGAAAAGAGGGCCCTTTGCTTAATCCACTGTGCAGACATCCTAGTAAGATGCAACAGAGAATGGAATCTCTGACAGAGTATAACTCATTTAGCATCTGTAGCCCTGGCCAGATAAAAAGATCAGACATGTGAGCACATTCTTCAGTTCATCTGAGGAGAAAGTAGAAATGCAATAATGTCTTTTCAGCATGGGAAAGTTTTCTGAACTACATGAGCACACATTGTCTCGTCTATCTTGTTGTCACAACCTCACAGTAAGCAGTAACTGGAGAAGATTGCAGTCTTCTTTTTCAGATAAACTCACACTGAGTTTCAGAAAATAGAAATACAACCAACAGGAGAAAGGGTCTCAAAACTTTGCTAGCATATCAATCAGCTCACGAGTTAAGAATATGAATTTTAAGATAATCTACGTTAAGCTGGAAGAATAAAACTGCTTAACTAAATATTTCCTGTATAACAAAATTTAACCAAAATAGCAAAGGTCATTAATAGAATTCATCAATTATTAATTCAACAAATACCAATAGAAAAGGCTCAATGCCATTAAACTAAAAAAGAGATAGCTGTATTAGTCAGCTTTACATTACTATAGCAAAATACCCAAGGCAACTATAAAAAGAAAAGAGGTTTTCTGCCTCATATTTCTGAAAGTTCAGCCCAAGTTTGGATGATCCAGTGGCTTTGGGGCTGTCTTAGTCACTTTCCCATTGCTGGGACAAAATACTCAATGCTCACAACTTGGGAGAGGCTTATTTTGGGTCATGGTTTTAGTCCGTGGTTGGTTAGCTCCAAAGTAAAAACAGGATGAGAGAGGGGCATGATGAGAAAAGGTGTTCAACCCATGGTGACCAGGAAGCAGAGAGAGAAGGGAGGAGCCAGGGAGGGAAATATATGGCTCAAGTGACCCCTCCTCCAACAGGTCCCACGGCATACTCAGCCATGAAATCATCAGCCCCTCCACTCACCAGCAGCACTGCTCTGAGGACCAAGCTTTCAGCACACGGCTGTGGGAGATACTTATTCCAACCCAACCAGCGGCTATGGAAAGAAAGAGCAACATCACGAGGGAACACAATAGGAGATCACAGTAGTGCAGGGGAAGTCACTTAGCTGTGTGTCGTTCCTCAGAAACCTTATGGCCCTAGACTTTGCTTTTGGTAAGCTGAAAGACTGTGTCTTGCTTAAATGTCTTTTCATTTCTATTATTATTGTTGGTACTGTCCTTGGATTAATTCCTGGGTTGATACTTCGATTTTCCAGATATAGCTGGTCTTTAGGTTTTGAGTCCCTAATGACTCTGAGGCAATCTCATTTTCATTATACCAGGAAGGATAATGGATTAGATCAATCACAACACTAGCCCAAGTGATGCAATCAACAACAACAATTGAATCAAGCATGGCTTAGAGAATGACAATTTGTAGTAGTTATTAATATATCACCTTTAACCATGTGAAAAATATCAAAATCAAGGACTAGACCAAAATATGTTAATAGTGAAAATATTGTTCAGTATAGTAACTTTACCTTTCGGATGGGGACTTGGAGTAAGGTCCTCTTACTCTTCTTCACTTCTGCTTTATATTTTGGAGCTCAGGACAATGGTGTTTAAGACACCCCATGCCTCTGCAGTGTGGATCCTGGCACAGGCCCAGCCAGGAGTCGGGGGGAAGCAGCACCCTCAGGTGCCTGCACAGCTCTGGTCCTCACTGGTCTGTGGTGGCTGGGAGGCATAGATAGGGGTGGGGCCAGAAATGAGGAAGAAGAGTCTGAGAATCACCCACCTGAACACCCTGAACTGATAGCAGAGGAAGTAACAAAACAGACGAAGCAGATGAGGCTCTAAAAAAATTCAAAACAGAAACAATTTCCCAGAGAACTATACAGATGATGAGCAAGATGAAAGATATGATTCGTTTCTAGAATAGAAACAGATAAAAAAAAAAGATGAATTCAGGAGCATGATGGAAGCCATGAATGCTCAGGATAGGAAAGAAATGGAAACTATGAATGCCCAACATAGGAAAGAAATGGAATGCATGAAACAGACTCAAACTGATATCCAGGAGATTAAAAACTCTGTTGAAAGTACACATAGCAGAGTGAACCAATCTGAAGATAGAATATCAGATATAGAAGACAGGATGGTGACCATGATAAATCAATACAAAATCTCCTAGAAGATGCAAAAAAGAATAATATAAGATTGATAGGAGTCCACAAAAAAGCAGGAGAAAGTACAAATGACATAAAAAAAGACTGTTCACAGAGTTAAAGACAGAAAACTCCCCAAACAGAGCAACAGAATTTCACATACTGTTAAGTAAGGGATACGGGGCTCCAACTAGCCATGATAAAAAAAATCTACACCTGCACATATAATAATCAAGATCCCAGAAGCCTGACAGAAGTACAAAATACTACAAGCAGTTAGAGAAACAAATCACATGCCAAGGAAACCCCATCAGAATCACAGCAGACTTTTCAACACAAACTCTCAAGCCAAGAAAAGCCTGGAGTGAGGTATTTTAAACCCTAAAAGAAAACAACCTCCAATCTAGACTGCTGTATCCTGCAAAACTATCTTTCAAAATTGATGAGGAAATAAGATACTTCCAAGACAAAGAACACCTGAGAAAAATTCATGAATATCAAACCAGCACTCCAGACAACTCTAAACAATATCCTAGAAAAAGAAAATGAAGGTCACAATTCCATGAGGCTCAACAGAGCAAATCCAGCAGGCAAGGCAAGAAATTAAAGGGAGAGGGGGAAAATTAAAAATAGCCAACAACAGGAAAATAACATGATAATGATGTTAATACACATCAGTTATAGCCATCAATGTTAATGGCCTCAATTCACCAATCAAAAGAAATAGACTGGCAGAATGAATTAAGAAGCAAAATCCGACAATATGCTGTATACAAGAAATGCACTTAGTTAAAAAAGAAACTCATAGACTGAAAGTTAAAGGATGGGAAACAGTTCTTTGTGCAACAGAACCCAGAAAAAAAGCACGGGTAGCTGTTTTATTCACAGACAAAGTAAATTTCAAACCAAAACTAATTAAAAGAGACAAGGAAGTTCACTATATTCAAGGGAACAATCCAAAAAGAAGAGACGACAATTATTAATATATGCATCAAA